AAGCCTGTTTGTAATTGACAGGGGACAACTTTTTCGATTGTGTAGACCTTTATCAACTATGAGTTGGTGCAGCTCTATAGAAAAAAACGTTGACAGAATAAAGTTCGCTTTTATTTTTGTGTACTACCCTTCTTACTTATTTAGTTAGACTACTATTGAGGATTTCGAAATGTATTTGTGCTTTTAGTTCCTCCGTTTCATTACATCTTCGGATGTTTGGTAAAGATTGACCTGTTTATTTTGCCCGGGGAAAGATCCCAGTGTCTCAGAAAAACAGGAAACACGGGGGAGTGTGAAGATGATTAAAGGGGGGTGTGAAGATGATCCAGAGTGTAAAGATGAACCAAAGGGGAAATGTGACGATGAAGGGCGAAGTGACGATGACAGTAGCGTAAAAACGATTTTGTTACAACATTTTAATTTAACGTTCATCACACACCTACTGGCATGCATTCCCCACCAGCGAAGTGGCAGTTCCGAGTATACATTTTGGGGGCCCCACTGTCTACGTCAAGTTCAACTCGCAGTCAGGTGATAGCCGCCCCCCACCCAAGGTGCATCACACCGTTGCCTACCGGGGAGGAGGCCCTCTCTACACGGGTTGAATCCACCTTGCTTTGGTGGCTCTTTGCCCAGTCTTTCTTTTTGCTAACCAAACACTGTAAATATTGCACAACGGTAAAGCAATGTAAGGGTAAAAAAAAAACTAATCTGTGTTTACCTGGCCCAGTTGTTAAAATAGCTAATTGGATACGCCCAAAGTGCAATAATCCCCAGTTGCTGCTTGTTTTTTTAAATAGGACACAGATGATTGCGATGGTAACGAGAGGATGGTGAGAGGTAAGTGGAGGTGACAGTGTGACATGGGGGATAACCTTGAAAAACAGGATGACAAAAGGGCTCTTGTAAGTGTGAAACAAGAAAATACGAGGGAAACGTGAAATAAGGGGGGGTAACTGTGGTAACAGGATAATATGGTAGTGCAGATAACAGAAGACATGAAATAGCCACTAATACGGGGATGACATGAAATACCCATGAAAAGAGGAAAACGCCATGAAATAGGTATGGGATGTGAAGTCATGTTCTGCCAACACAGGGGAAGGGGAAGGAAAGAGAGGAGGGGAAAGAAAAACAAAAGAGTGAGAAGAAGAAAAGAACTGAAGTCTCGCAACTTACGGGGAAAACCAAGATAGATAATTGTGTTGTGTGTGTGTGTGTGTGGTGTGTGTTGTGGGGGGTTTTTCCTTTTTCCCCTCCTTTGCCTTTCCCTCCTTCTTTGTTTTCTTTTTGCTAATAATTCGTCAGGGAAAAATAATTTGAAATATGTCTTACTACCGACCTGCTCAATACTCCCCCCCCTCCCCCTCCTCCTCCTCCTCTTCCTTCCTCCTCCTCCTCCTCCTCCTCCCCCTCCTCCCTCCTCCTCTTCCTCCTCTTCTTCCTCCTCCTTCTTCCTCTTCCTCTTCCTCCCCCTCCTCCCCCTCCTCCTCCTCCTCCCCCCTCTTCTCCTCTTTTTTCCCCCTTTTCCTCCTTTCCCCTTTTCCCTCCCCCTCCCCTCCTCCTCCTCCTCCTCCCCTCTTCCCCCTCTTCTTCCTCCTCCTCCTCTTCCTCTTCCCTCCTCCTCTGATCTTGGGACTCCTAAATTCTTAAACTAACTAAAATTTTATATAGTGGAACAAAAGTTAGTTACGTTTTTTATATGATCAGCAGGCTGACCCTCATACTGTAAAAAATGTTCACCCTGAGCGGGGAGACTTCAGTGTGTCGTCTGAGCTGGGACTTCAGTAGTGTCAGTCTGGTGGAACTTCGTAGTGTCAGTCGAGTGGCAGACTTCGTAGTGCAGTTGAGGGGCGACTTCAGTAGTGTCGTTGAGCGGGGAGATTCAGTAGTGTCAGTTGAGGGGGAGACTTCAGTATGTCAGTTGGCTGGGAGACTTCATAGGTCAGTCTGAGCGGGCAGACTTCGTATGTCGTCTGAGCTGGGAGACTTAAGTAGTGTCGACTGAGCGGGGGAGACTCCAGTGTGTCAGTCTGAGCTGGGAGATTTAAAGTAGTGCAGTCTGAGCGGGAGACTTCAGTGGTCCCCTG